TTGTATGTATCCAGTATATGTATCTAATTATAATTCAGTGTAATGTGAAAATTTGTAAGAGATATAAACAGGGTAATTATGGAAGAAAATAAACCTAAATATTCGATAGAAATATGAAAAGATACACAGCTCTCTAGTAATCAATTATATATGAATAATTCAAAGTATAATTTTACAGATATTACTTTAAATTACCAAGTTTTGGTGACAACATGGTCCCTCAGAAACTCATATTTTTCTGTTGGTAAGGTAAATTAGTACAGTAATGTTTGAGACAATTGAAAATATTAGCACAATTAACTATGCGAGTCTATGATCCAGTATTTCTAGTATAAGCCATATCCTAGCAATATCAGTGACTACTTATAATGGATATTCACACATATGTACATGTACATGTTTGTGTAAGTGTTGATACAAATAGACATATACAAATTAGAGCAGCATTTTTTTTTGTAGCATGGTATGCTCCAAATATCTAAAAGTATGGTAGCCCCTTTGTGTATGGGTAATGGTAGAGACCACAGGAATATTGAGTTATATGCTAGAAAGAGATAGACTTCTGTGATCAGAATTTTTAAATGATTCACACAAGGACTCACAAAAAAAGAGTTATAGAGATAGCTTTCTTATTATTAGAGAATACCCAATTAACCATGAGTGGAATATAGGATGGATAGTATAGAGGCTCCTGATGAAGTCTTAGATGGGAAGGAGTAGCATGTTATTGGACAATGGGGAAAAGACAATCCTTTCCATAAAGTGGCAAGAACTTGGCCGAGATGTGTTCACATTCTTGTATTTCAAGGCAGATAGGGTGATGAAAATGCATATCTAGCTGAGGAGATCCTGGAGAAAGTGTTGAAGGAGTCATTTGCTTCTTGCTAAGTGCTTTTGGTCAAGGTGAAAACAGTAACACTATTTAGGATAGATTTGTCAAACACAAGAGACTAGGAGCTTAAAGATTTGGGAAAATCTCAGGATGTCTGTACTGCAAATTATGACACATCATACTTGGAAGAGATTACTAAGGGCATGGCCAGGTGACTGATGAGGAGATTCATAGGGACATGAAACCAGGATCTTATGTGAATCAAATAATCCCAAAGCCAGGATCTGAGATGGGATTATGCCAGCAGAAAAAACACCAGTTAGGAGTCAATGAAAGATGGAAAAGGGGAAAAATTGAAGCAAGATTGTTGAACTGCTTGGAACCTTCAGGATTGAACCATTGCTGATTCCTCCAAAGGCAGGATGAAGGACCCTGCAGGCCATTCATAGATCACTGGGGCTACCACACTTGCCAAAGGCACAGAGTTCATAGGCTCATCATAATCATCATTATGATCATCATCATGATTATCATCATCACCATCATCATAATCATTAGTGGTATTGAATTATTGAATTCAGGGGTGCTTTACCACTAAGTTACATCCCCAGTCATTTATTTATTTATTTTTTTGAGACAGGGTTTTGCTAAATTACATTGGCTGACCTCAAACTTGTGATTCTTCTGCCTCGGGCTGACCTCAAACTTGTGATTCTTCTGCCTCGGGCTGACCTCAAACTTGTGATTCTCCTGCCTCAGCCTCTTCAGTAGTGGGATTACAGCTCTTACTCAGCTCAAGACGGTTATTTATTTATTTATTTATTTTTACAGAATGTCTCTTATATTATTCACTAAACAGCAGATTTCTTGATGAACAATTGTTGATGAAAGTTGTTGTTCATCAACTGTTATCTCAAGAGGGTTATTTTTAAGTAATAGATCCTCATAGAGTTTACTTTCCTAGGTTTGGGACTTGTTTTGGACAATTGCTCCTTTCTTATTTCTGCTTTTTGGAGTGGGAATTTCTATACTATTCCTATCCTGTCAATGTTTTTTGGAAGCACATAAATTGGTTTGAGAGGTTCACAGCTGAACAGGAGTTTTGCCTAAGAATAAATCATATCATGATTCTCATTCATATTTTATTTAGATGATGTTTACATAAGACTTTGGACTTTAGGCTTGAGTTGATGGTGATATACATCAAGATTTTGGGATTTTTGAAATTGAATGAAGGCATTTTGTGTGCAAGATGGATATGAATTATAGAGGCCAGAGATGGAATTTTATGAACATAATATGTATGTCCCCTTGAGGTTCATTTGCTGAAATTATAATTCTTACTTTAATAGTAGGACATGAAATCTTTAGGAGATAATTAAGTCACAAGGGTGGAACAACTCCGAAGGGGTTTAGTGAGCCCTTTAACCTTTTTTATGCTATGTTAGGAAGGACACAATGAGATACCATGTTCAAGCCAGCATCTTCATTGTGGAATTCTAGCCTCGAGAATTATGAGAAAGAATTTTTTGTTTTTTATGAACTACCCTATCATTTGTTACAAAGTCCAAACTGAGGAAGATACCAGGAAAGAACTATACATACAAGTACAGTTTTATTACAACAAGCAAGAAGATACAAATAAGAAACAACCAAAGGAATAGATACATAGAGTGAAGTCTGGGAGTGATCCAAATATGACTTTCACCATCCTGGAGGATGAGTTATGCTCCTGACTCCAAGTAAGGCAATGTGCGTGGAGTATTACCTATTCAAGAAGGTGTCCAGAATTTTTATGGGGGCTTGAGGACAAACTAGCCACATGACTGATCTTTAGATATAGGCCGCTCCTAGAGGAACAATATCGTCTTGAGTCTCCAGTTCCTTTTGCATTTGAAACTGATGTAGAATATTCCCATGTTTCCATTATAAATCATTTTTTGAACTGTCCAATGTCAAAGACTCAAGGAAAATGTTGATAATCCTATTGGGTAGGGCATTCCTTCAATTTAAAGATCATTCCCTAGTATCTGAGAATAGGCCAAAACTTTTTTTTAGGCAAGCTTAATTTTTCTCTGTACAAACTCAAATATATGACCTCTATTCAAGACATGTGCCATGAAGCTGCAATGAAGTCTGGGGTATAAAATTTCTAGTTCTGCCACTTTACTTTTTCTATAAAATCAGAGTTCTTTCAGGAAGGATTAAGATAATGAATGGATTGCCTAGTGCATAGACAACCAGCTATGTTTTGCCACACAAGGAATGGTTATTAATTCTTTGTATTTCAGTGCATGTAGCTATTCTTTCCTCCATGCTATTTCCATTCCAAACTATTTAGAGTATGGTATCATATTTCTTTCCTTACAGTCTAAACTTACATTTTTTAAAAGCATGGTTGTCCATAAGAACAGTTTACTGTGCTGGACTGTAGATGGTAAACTTCCTCATTGAATGGACACCTTCACCTTTTCTATATGTATTCTCTGTTCATTTATTCAAAAAACAGTCTAATGGGTACTTAGAAAATTCCTGACACTAATAGATGCTGGAGACTTAATAATGAATTTCTTCATAGAGATCCAATTTAAATGTTTCTATAGTTTTCATATATGGCAGGATGAAACATGTCCTAATCAGGGTGTCATCGAGAAATAAATTTTCTCTGAGTAGGAGCTTACCATTTTGAGGTAGGCATGAAAATGGCCACAAGTACTTTCTTTCATTGCCTGTACTTCATTATGGTATGACGCACAATCTGAATACTAATGCTTTTCTGCTACCTATTCTTTGTCTTGATTCAAAGGGCTTTTGGCCTACATTTCTATTGGGTTTCTATAGCATTTATCAAAAAAAAAAGATCAGTATAGCTTTTGTAAATAAATAATCACTGGCAGTGTTTAGATGTATCTATTTCTAGGTTACCTGTACTGGAGATGGAAATAGAAAATGTTTGCATGAGTTCCCTTTCCCTAGGGAGAAAGGGATAGAATGAGATGAAAAAGGGTAACTAATGATAGAAATAAGTGTATTCAGGTGCCAGGGAATGTAACAACATGGGAATTTTAGGTAAAAAGGATATCTTGAGTCAAAATATGCTTTTTAAAGAATTCATTTTACATTGAGGTTTGTTTAATAATTTGGACAGAATAAACAAAAGACCTTATTGTACATAATATAATGAAATTGTTTAAAGATGAGGAAAATGAATTTACATTTTTTTAATTATGGAAAGCTAGGTATTTTTGTAGCCATTAAAAGCATACTTGAAAAATATTTAAAATGATAGTCTATAAAGTTTATGCACTGTGGAGAACAGTGACAGTGCATGGGAGCCCAGTAACTGAGATTGGGGTCCCTGATGACTTCATGGCTGTAGCATACTTGGTGACTGGGAAATTTTCTATCCAAAGGTATAGGATGTACAGTTGCTATGACAATGCTCTCCATGGGGAGACTCTGTTGCTAGAGTCTTAACAGCTTCAACCTTGCTCTCAGGCACACAGTTTCTGAGACTGAAGGAACTTCCTTGCTAGACAATAGCAGTGTTTCACCAGTTCTGCTGCTGCTGAATCTGTCCACAAATTAGTAACTTTAAACAATGGACTTTCTTGAGAGCTACACAATGCTCCTATTATTTCACATTGCAACCATGGAATGTAACTTAGGAAATAGCTGCATATATTGCTAACTCTGTAACTTTCATGATTCAAAGAATAATGCTTGCATAGTCTTTAATCTGATTAATGAGACATATATAATAAAGATTGCTGGTGTAATTCTTTTGGCCTGCTTCTCCATCAAAGAGCAGCACTCCACCAGATCCCAGCTGTTTTACCTTCAAAATTTGTGTATGTGACTCTTATTTCTTCTAATCTCCCATTGCCCCTCACCAGAACCTGCTAGTTTGGCCACCACAATGGTCACGGCAATAGACATTTCTTAATATTTCAATCTTTTCCATAAAGCATTCTCCATAGGGATTATTTATTTTCAAATGGTATTACAGAGTAAATGAGTCTCAGAAGAGGTCTTAGGATATTTCTTACATCTAAGATATTTTGTATCAATAAGGGTATCCTTGATTTAAAATCTCTGAATGTTTTCAATTTTTGAAACAACTCTACTGGTGCTTTAATGTGCTGAATTGGAACAATTTGGATCCAACCTAAAAGAGCTTTTTGGCCACCACTTTTAAAGCTTCTTTCACCTCCTTGTTTCTCAGACTGTAGATCAGGGGGTTCAACATGGGAATGACAATGCCATAAAATGCAGAGGCCACTTTCATATTCTCTTGGGCATTCTCAGAATGACGCTGTAAGTACATGTAAGCAAGGGTGCCATAGAAAATGGTGACTGCTGTCAGGTGGGAGGCACAGGTGGAGAAGGTCTTCTTCCTCCCTGCTGTAGAAGACATCTTCAGGATGGTGGTCAGGATGTAAATGTAGGACAAGGTGACGACTAACACAGTGAACGTCAAGTTAAATCCCACAAACACAGTAAGTACCAGGATGTTGATGTCAATGTTGGAGCATGATAGCATGAGAATTGGGGGAACATCACAGAAAAAGTGATCAATGATGTTGGACTGACAGAAGGACAGTGAAAATGTAAAACCCGTTTGTACAGAGGCATTTATTGATCCCATGAGGTATGAACCAGCTACCATCTGGATGCAGACTGTCTGAGACATGATGATGGAATAGTGAAGAGGCTTACAGATGGCTACGTAACGGTCAACTGCCATTGCTGCCAGGAGGTAGCAGTCACTGGTAGCAAAGTTTGCATAGACCAGTAATTGCATTAAGCATCCACTAAATGATATGGACTTGTTTTCTGTGATGAAGTTTTGCAGCATCTTGGGAGTGATAGCTGTCGTGTAACAGATGTCAACAAAGGCCAGATGTTGTAGGAAAAAGTACATGGGTGTTTGGAGTCTGGCATCTGTCCTGATGAGTAGGATCATTCCAGTATTCCCCACCGTGGACGTCACGTAGATCATGAGAAACACAATGAAGAAGATGATCTGAAACTGACGTTGGGCACCAAATCCTAGAAGGTAGAATTCAGTCACTTCAGTGCCATTTCCTTGTGTCATGGCTACCCAACGTCTGGATAGAAGCAAGAGAAGGATCAAGAGAAGAAAGGAAATCTTTGTGACTTTTTCAAATGAAAGATCCTTACATTTCATGTTACTTTTGTTTTATTTTGATATTTATGACAAAACCAGAATCTGGTTTACTGTTTACTGTCTTCCAAATATTTTTTCTATATTTTTGATAAGAAGCCATCACAAACCAGTGTATTCAAGCTATAGATAAATTTTACAGCGGAGAAAGCTTCAGAGAGGAAGACCAACTTTTAACCTGTGATTATGAAAAATGTATATTAAACTACTTTTTCATTATTTTAAATAAATATGTATACTTGCATAAAGCATTAGGATTTTCCACTTTTCAGCAGTCTATAATTTTTCATAGGCATTTATTATTCTTGTCATTTAATCCTGATTCAAACTTCTGACATTAGAACTCATTGGAATGAAGAATTCTGAGTTATGTTCATGGTTGTGTTTGTCAGCTTTTCCACTGTTGTGACTGAAATACCTGATAGAACAATTGTAGAGCGGAAAAGTTTATTTGGGGTTCATTTTTTTAGAGGTCTCAGTCCACAATTCCATTCCTCTGTGCTCAAGGGGAGGCTGAACCTCATGGCAAAAGAGTCTGGCAGAGGGAAACAGCTCACATGATGATCAGACAGCAGACAAGGAGACTCCACTCAACACATACAAAATGTATTCCCCAAAGGCTTGCCCCTAACAACTTACCTCCTCTAGGCACACCCTACCAGCCTTCAGTTACCACTCTGTTAATCCTCTCAGGATTAATTCATTGATTGGGTTAACCCAATCATTTCTTCTCTAAACCCTCTTGCATTGTCTTACACATAGGCTTTTGGGAGATGTCTCACATTCAAATCACAACAATAGTTCACATGATTGATGGCTTCATATTGTGTGTACCTCTCTTCTTTTTTACAACTCTCTTTTAAGTGATTACCTTCACAAAATTTTTCTGATTATCCCCAAGATAATCTTTTTGCTTCATATAATTAAGAGAGAGAGAGAGAGAGAGAGAGAGAGAGAGAGAGAGAGAGAGAGAGAGAGAGAGAAAGTTTCATTTTCCCTGGCATTGTTTCTCTTATAGTTTTGGCTTAGCTTAAGAAAGATCATGTAACTATTTGATTAATATATGGTTATACCTTATTTTACATCATGAATGTCTTTGTTTTTTTCTACCTATGTACTTCTGTGCCAGATTGGGTATACAGCTGAGATGTAATCATGGCTGATTTTCATGTAGTGTAAGCCCTCAAACTCTCTGGTTTGGTGTCTTAATTCTTAAACAATTCTTTCCATATTTCCTAGCACTGCTTATTGGTGAATAATGTGTCTCAGACCATGCCTATATACTGCAGAAATTGGCTTGCTGCCCATCAGTATCTTCAAATATTTTCTTTTGCAAATGCAGGTAGACATTCAACCAAACTTGCTTGTGTGAGGTTATCTGCTCAATGTAACATAAGTAAAAGGAATGTATAATCTAGGCCAGAAGCAGCCCTCTCAACCCCATACCTGTGAAAATAGTTACAATATAACTTTCTACTCCATTTCCATCTGAGCTGTTAGTTATATATTGGTAATTTAGAGAGACTTTACAAATCATGAGATAGGGTTGCCGGATAAAACAAGGGAAAACAAGTTAAAGTAAATTTCAGAATAAATAAGTGAAATATTTCATATTAATACATATCAACTTTAGTATTTATGTTGGGCTATTGCATGAGAAAAAATACTTATTATTTTTCAAAATTCACATTTAACTGGGCCTTGTGTGTGTGTGTGTGTGTGTGTTTGTAATTTTGGTAGCCCTCCTTGTATTGCTTATTGTGGTCCACTTCAAACTGGGTTCTGGGATGACTGTACACAACACAGAATCTCTGTCCTACTCTGTTTTGTGTTGACAGAGCAGAATACCACACTTCATGATAATGAAATTCATAGAAATAAAAAAAATGTATTTGGGTGATAGCTGTTGATGATGGTAAGTCCAAGGTAGTGAAGCTACCTCACATGGGCACCTTGTGACCACCTCATAACATGGCAGAAAGTGGAAAGGCAAGCGAGTCAACATTGACATCAAGAGAACAAGATAGGAGTAAACTTTCTTTCATAACAAATCTAAGTTCAAGAAAACTAACCCTTTCCCACAAAATCAGCATTAATTCAGTCATAAGGGCCATACCTCTTCTCGTTACTTAACCTCCTGACACTGTCACAACGGTGATTAATTTCCAACATGTGAATTTGGGGGACACATTCTATCTATAGCAGTTCACTGCCAACAATACCTTTCCCCCACTGGACTGTATGTGACTGAGAAAATTTAGTGTTGTGCAAACTGATATTTATGGAGTTATTTCTTTACAACAGTTAGTCTTATTTTAAATAACTATTATGTCTTTCCTAAAATGCAGTAATGATATTTTGTAAAAAGGCATAAAGGCAGGAAGTTGTAATAGAAGCACAGTTTCCAATTGAGTAGTGATGGCTTATTTATCAGATCCAAAAAACTGAAATACCTAGCAGCAATAGGAAAAATCTTAGCCTCAACTAGATTTATGCTTCAGACTCCTCCAAATGGTGATCCTAACCAGGTGCATTGTGAGAGGGATTGTGAGTGAGTCCTAACAGAATGAGGTTTGGAAATGAGGTCCTTTTAAGAAGCAAGTTATAGGTTAGAACTTTTGGTTCATCAGCAGCTTACCTAAGACATTAGAGCTTCCTTGGTTTACCAATGTAAAAATACAAAAAGGGATTCCTCTTTTACCTGAAAAAAGAAGAAATGAAAAGACCAGTTGGAGGGAACATATACTATATAATTTATATTATATAAAATATATTATATACTAGGTATACATATTTATAAAAATACAAGATGTATAATTATATAGAGAGAATTGACAGATAAATAGGAATGTATTAAAGTACATGTAATGGATTAAAAAAACTGGCTGTCATATATATTTGTGTGTGTGTGTGTGTGGTGCTGAGGATTTAACCCAGGGCCTTGTCCATGAGAGACAAGCACTCTACCAACTGATCTATATCCCCACAAAGACATACACACACACATAAACACACACACACACATACCACCACCAGTATCAAAATTCCGGTTTTGGTGTCATAGTAGAATTAAACAAGATGTAAAAGTAGGTGGAAGGTTCACAGGATCTCTTGGCACTGCTGCCAACTTCCTGTGAATCTATGAGTATTTCAAAATAAAAAGTAAAAGAAAAATGAAGAGGAAAATACAGAGCCTGGCTTGAAGTGATGTGAGGTTCAAGTTACCAAGATTACAAAGACCTCACAGCAGGGTGCAGACATTGAGTGCTCACTCCATGGCCCAAGGACACATGCAAACATTATTTTAAGCACATTTAGTGTTGGTTGGTTGATTGACTGATTCATTCACATTCTTTCTTGGGCAACCCTTGGCAGATTCCAACCCCTGGATTCCTTTCCATCATATCACCTGATGAGCTGAGTCCTGGTCTTGGGGCGTGACATGCTGGAACTGCTCCTCTGACCCTGGTGCCTTGCTGCTTCCTGCACACATGGCAGTGCTACACAGCTGCTGTTGACAGTGGGAATTACCCTGTTGTACTTGAGCCAGAGTTGCCTCCAGAATCTCTTTCTGCAGCTGCTGCAGGCTGACTGCCCATGGAGGGCTGTCTCTATGGCTCCTCCCCACCAGGGATCTTATAGCTGCCACCTCAGGGAGCTATACTGACTCCCTTGGTATCTGAGGTTCCAGAGGCTGAGATGGGATTGAAAAACAGCGATTAGCAGTGGTAATTGGCTGAAGAAAATTTATGTTTTCCAGAGAGAACAAATATTTTGATGTTATTCTACTTTTAGAGAGGATAATTATTTCTAATGTCATGTGTTGTTTAACAACTTTGCTTTTTTAAAAATTGTTTTCCGTCAGGTTGAATGTCTTTGCATATGCTGTCAGGACTAAATTTACACTTTCTGGAGAGGCCTTTGTTTTTCAGTGTTACTGTAATGCCTGGGTAATAGTTCTTTTTCATGTCATTTATTCTTTAACAAGTACTTAAAAATTGTTTATTATGAATCAGGTTGAGCATCTTTTCTTATATCTAAGGACATATGTTTAGGTCTAGATAAATCTTCTCACTAATCAGTAAAGAACATAACTTTCTGATAAAATAAATCTGAATCTAACCTAAATTTTGAAAACATTTTTATTAGTGCATTATAGTCATACATAATTGTGAGGTTAATTTTGATGTATTCATAAATGTATATAACATAATTTGTTCCAGTTCAGTCCCCAGTACTACCACCTTTCCTTCTCACTGCCCCAATCTTTTCCTCTATTCTATTGGTGGTTCTTCTATTAATTAATATATTTAAATTGATGTATCATAGTTATACATAAAAGTGAAAATCATTGTGATATGTTCATGTATATTTGTAGCAGAATTTGTTCAATTTCATTTTAAATCTTTTCCCTTTTCTCATCTTCCCTCCCTCCTTCCAATTCCTCTTCCTCTACTCCTCTATTTTTCCTTCTATTTTCATGAGATCCCTTTAAATTTTTTTTCTTATTTCTCTCTAGTTTTTACATATGAAGGAAAACATTTGACTCTGGACTTTGTGAGTTTGACTTATTTCTTTAACATGATGTTTTATAGTCCCATCCATTTATGATTTCATTCTTCTTTAAGACTGAGTGAAATTTCACTGTGTATATATTCCACATTTTCTTTATCCTTTCAACTACTGATAGGTACCTAGGATGGTTGCATACTTGAATATTGTGAATTGTGCTGCTAAAAACATTGGAGTAAATGTATCAATTTAGTATAATTTCTTTTAGTTATCTTGGATAAATACCAAGATGTGGTATAGTTGGGTCATATGGTGGGTCCATTCCTAGTCTTTTGGGGAATATCCATACAATATCCAAAGCAATTGTACAAATTACAGTTCCATCAATAATGTATGAG